GAGGATCATTGACCCATTTATTTATGTAATAACTCGTAATGTTCTGCTTCACTGTAGAGTAATGTATGAGAACGAATGATCTTTGCCAAGCTGTTATGTAATAAAACATAACACATTCCGAAATTAATTCAAGTATATTAATCAGCTGGTTATACAAGAAAACGCAAAATAGAATAGTACACTATGACAAACATATAATAAACATATCAGTTTAAATATACAGTCAGGTCCATAAATATTGGGACATCGACACAATTCTAATCTTTTTTGGCTCTATACACCAACACAATGGGTTTGAAATGAAACAAACAAGATGTGCTTTAACTGCAGACTTTCATCTTTAATTTGAGGGTATTTACATCCAAATCAGGTGAACGGTGTAGGAATTACAACAGTTTGTATATGTGCCTCCCATTTTTTTTTAATAGCCACTGCAGATTGCTCCAGTGTGGATTCCCATTTGCCTTGTTTCATCTACATACGGTGTCATAGTTACATAGTTACATAGCTGAAAAGACACTATGCGTCCATCAAGTTCAGCCTTCCTCACGTTTGTTTTTGCTGTTGATCCAAAAGAAGGCAAAAAACCCCCCCAGTTTGAAGCACTTCCAATATTGCAACAAACTCGGAAAAAAATTCCTTCTTGACCCCAGAATGGCAGTCAGATTTACCCTTCGATCAAGAAGCTATTACCCTACATTTAAAAAATTGTATCATTGAATTGTCATTTTTTTTTATCAGGTTATTTGTGTGTAAAGTCAATTTATTTTTAAGAGATTCTCTTATTAACGCTTAATTTTATATATTGATACATATATTGTTATATTTTACTATTTATGAGGTTTTGAAAAACGAATTTAAAAAAATTGAACCAAAAATATTAAATCATTATAAAAAATTAAATCTCAACTTGCCGCCTGAACTGCCCCTTTCAAGTGGGAAGTTGAGGAAGTCGAGAGGCTCTCAGAATGAGGAAATCATAATAAAAGTGGGGGGCGGACAGCTGACTGGGTAGGGGTGCAGGAGACTGTGTGGATGAAGATTTAGAGGGAGAATATGGAATGCAGATACAATGATGTTGGAGGCTGAATTAATAAAAGAAATATATTTTACGGTGGGCGAAAATAACAGAAAATAATACCACTGGCAGCTATGATAAGTTATTATGTTGTTGCTGGGCACCACAAGGCACGTATTACTATTATGGAAACAGGTTTCAGTCGCTGCCCTTGATTCAGAATAAAATAGGGCAAAGGTGAGCAGCCGGGATGGGAACTGGCTTCCTAGCGGTGACATCACAGCAGACGAAGGCGATTGGTTGAATCGGTGCCAGCTGATTCATGCTCTATTTTTAAATATTCAGCTCCGAGAGCAGGAACGCTGAACGCCAAGCTCCATACAGCAGGACACTAGATATGCTTTAACAATCAGGCTTTCATCTCTTTTTGTTTTTTACATTCAAACTTTGCACATTCATGAGGAATGTTAATTTCTGAATACACCCAGCCCTACTGACTTTGAAACCTGTGACAGAGAGACATTGGGTGCAGGAAGGTGGTCTGAGAACGGTCAGGTCTTTCCTAGCCATCTGTATAAAAATAATTTATCCGTTCCTGAATTGAGAGCTGTGAGCTCTTTAATTGGCTGAGCCTTCCATATCATGGGTTTATATAGTCGAATTCGCCTTGTAAGTCCTAGCCTGTTAATGTAGCATCTCCCCTGGATGAAATGTCAGTATATTTTCCCCTATCAGATCCTGGGCCCTCCTGGGCTGGAGTGTTTTACTTTACCCTCTACCTCGGGACAGGGCAGTTTTGCACATGGTAACATAGATGGTGGACAGGAGTGACGGTGGTAAGGTGGCTGGGCTTAACCCGTCTTGGGCAGTGACCTAATTGGGGCGCCTGCCTGCAACTCCTTGGAGGAGCTGGCTTGGGCGTAGATCTCCCTCGCTGTCCTTTATGTCGCTGCTTGGGCAGATGCAATGGGTGCTCCATAGGATTCAGGTTGAGCTGCATTCTCTTGGGGGCTGAGGAGTTTAGTTAGTCTCTCAGAATCGCCACCCCAATTAGTTAAGTTCTTTATTTTATGGCTGTTCTGTTTTAATGATTTTTGCTGGATGCTGTGTTAGTTATAAATAGACATAGCCGGTGGTGGCTTTTTCCTTCTAGCCAGTTGTCATGTGTGGTTTATTTGGGGCATTATTTACGGGGTGCTGGTTCAGGAATGGTGGTTGGGTTGCTCTTTAAGGGGGTAGGGATGTATGGAACTCAGGGACATAGGAGGTAACCCCTTATGAGAGCCAGTGATGATGCATGTAGATACACAGCTGTCCACTGTTTAAACTCCTAATTCCACACATGCTTATCCAAATCGAGCCCGCACATTGCAACATATAGTAGCAAATGGACTCTAACAAGGTTTTCCAAGAAGTAAGAAGCGTCAAGAATTCAAAGTGAATTTTAAATGTAAAAGTCGGAGAATTTTATCAATTTGGCTAATTTAACCTTAAATTTTAAATTCAGTTAATTTTCACTTTGAATTCTGACAATTATCACTGTAGTGAGTAACCCTGTAAACGGTACTTGGAACGCTAACCACGGCTTTATGTCCACTTTTAACTCTTTGAAATAATAATTATTGGAGCTGAGTCATTGGTTTCTATGTAACCTCTACCTTGGACCAGTGATTGACAGATAGAATGATGGAGAATCCTCGCTATGAAGAACATTGCTCTCTGCCCAGATGCTCGGTCAGTGATGGTCTTGAATGTCACTGACAAAGCTTATTCCAATATAAGCATGAAACAGGAGACTTTATCAATAAAAGTCCAGTGCTGCCTTCCATGGTTTGGTTGGTCTGCCTTGTAACATGCTGACCGAGTCAGTAAAATGAACATGTAAATCTGGTTTTCAGAAAAAAAATCAAAGCAATTTATAAAAAGACTAACCGTATGTGAAATCAATAGAATGCTTCTTTTTAATATCACTTACAATACTCATTGTTACATGGCCAAAAAGAGACATGTGTCCATGCCTGTCTCATGTCTGTTTTTGATTTTGTACTCAAATTAACACATAAACATGTATATCTCTTATAACATAGTTTTGCTATTCTGACAAATTTAGCCGTTTTGGTAGCCTTCAATTTACATTAAGAAATTCTCCTTTTATATATAACTGATGAAGAGAATCTAAGCAAGTTCCAACTAAAGACTAAATAGTAAACTAAACTACTGAAATGAGGGAACTCATCCACCAACTTACCGCATCGACTGTCACTGCTGATTGGCTGAAGACATGGTCCGATATCGCCATATTTTATGGACATTGGCTGTGGTGACACGTCTGGCTTTAGACATTGCACCTGACTCAAGAATGGTCACTCTTCCACCCGCATAAATTCCTGAATAAAGACTTCAAAGGGAAATTAAAATTTAAAGACTATTCTGTTTTGGGAGGAGATCCCTGGAATAGGGGCATCATTTGATCCCACCACAGTTAACTGTCTACAATAAAAAGCAGTTTTGTCTTCTCCACTGCGATTTTGACCCTATTAGACCCCGTCTAATGAAGGCACCATAATAACTTCACCTCAATGTACTTTTCAAAATTCATGCATTTTTTTTCAATGGGAAGCCAGTGATAGGCTGAGAACATCAGCTGAAGCTCTCAGCCTGTCACAGGTGCACAGTCCGGGGCTTTTGCATTGAAATTGGGGGACATAAGCGAAGGAAGAGGAACCTCAAGATGCCACTTTGAGATAATATATTTGTATCTTTATATTCCCTTAAGGTTAGAGCGTACCCAGGACTTCCAGGCATCGACACAACTACATTGAGATGGAGCTGTTATGGTACCCCAGGAACAAGGACAATCTATTGGTGAGGCTAATTTTAACCTCTGACACATCCATATAATCTAACGATTTAATGCAACATCACCTTTTTTTGCCATTAGGAAGATCGAAACTGCACTTTAAGCAATTTAAAAAAACGAAAAAAAGTTAAAACAAAGAGGAAGCAGGCAAGATTTCAACATTATAAATACATTGCGACATGTAACACATATTGAAGGCACAGCATCTTCTGTCTTTTTGGCAGGAGCCCCGTGAGAAAGAATTTTTTTTTCACTCACAGAGAAACGGATGCCATTGGCTGTTAAGAGATCAGCCGCTACGTGATTGGGTAGTCGCTGTGTTCACGTGAAGACCCATAGCTTCCCTGCCTGTTCAGCTCCTTTCCTTTCAGAGAATGAGTCAGATAACTTGGCTTTTGTTGTTACATTCTTGTATCGTGAATAACGTTTCACAGAGCTTGACTTTCCTTTTAGAGAAGGTCTGACTGCCTTATAGACTTCACAGAAATATGCTTTTCATACGATATGTCAGGTGATTCGAGGGTAGAACATTGTGTGGATTGGGAGAGAAACAAAATTACAATAGACTGTAAGGGATTTTCCCAAAGAGCTTGCAATCTATTGAGTGACATACCAGAAATGTAATAAATAGATTTAAAAGCACAGTTAATGCAGTAAACAAACTAAAGAATTCATGGGATGTGTACATGATACAATACTAAATAAGTCATAAATTAATTCAGTGTTCTATAAGTTATATAGGAGGTGATCTAGATTCCCAACTTGGCCATGTCAGCCGTCCATCCTCTAGGGTAGGAGGGGGAAAATGTAGATCCTTAACGTGGTAGAGCGGAATCTCTTCTTTTTGGCCACTTATGCTCTGGGGATTTCACTGTAATACAACAACATAAAGTCCCAGGGAATCACTTCTAATCTGTGTCTTGATCAAGCCTCGGATGTCCTATACACATTGCTAGACTTTTGGTCCAAGTCCAGGTATCCGAGATCAGGAAATGGCCTCTATAATCAAACATATATTCCGTTTTCATTACCTGCTCACTGATCAAATAAATACCCACCAGGTAGAGGACACAGGGATCATAGCGCTGAGAGGGAGAGGACACAGGAATCATGGCGCTGAGAGGGAGAGGACACAGGGATCATGGCGCTTAGAGGGAGAGGACACGGGGGTCATGGCGCTGAGAGGGAAAGGACACGGGGATCATAGCGCTGAGAGAGGACACAGGGATCATGGAGCTGAGAGGGAGAGGACACGGGGGTCATGGCGCTGAGAGGGAGAGGACACGGGGATCATGGTGCTGAGAGGGAGAGGACACATGAATTATGGAGCTGAGAGAGAGAGGACATGGGATCATGGAGCTGAGAGGGAGAGGACACAAGGATCATGGGACTGAGAGGGAGAGGACACAGGGATCATGGGACTGAGAGGGAGAGGACACGGGGATCATGGGACTGAGAGGGAGAGGACACGGGGATCATGGCGCTGAGAGGGAGCGTCATGATCCCCATGTCCTCTCCCTCAGGGATCATGGCGCTGAGAGGGAGAGGACACGGGGATCATAGCACTGAGAGGGAGAGGACATGGGGATTATGTAGCTGAGAGGGAGAGGACACAGGGATCATGGTGCTGAGAGGGTGAGGACACGAGGATCATGGCGCTGAGAGAGGACACAGGGATCATGGAGCTGAGAGGGAGAGGACACGGGGATCATGGAGTTGAGAGGGAGAGGACACGGGGATCATGGTGCTGAGAGAGGACACAGGGATCATGGCACTTAGAGGGAGAGGATATGGGGATCATGTAGCTGAGAGGGAGAGGACACAGGGATCATGGAGCTGAGAGGGAGAGGACACGGGGATCATGGCGCTGAGAGGGAGAGGACACGGGGATCATGGCTGAGAGGGAGAGGACACAGGGATCATGGCGCTGAGAGGGAGAGGACACAGGGATCATGGCGCTGAGGGGTAAAGGACACAGGGAACATGGTGCTGAGAGGGAGAGGACACAGAGATCATGGCGCTGAGGGGTAAAGAACACAGGGATCATGGCGCTGAGAGAGGACACAGGGATTATGGTGCTGAGAGGGAGAGGACATGGGGGTCATGGCGCTGAGAGAGAGAGGACACAGGATCATAGAGCTGAGAGGGACAGGAGGACACAGGGATCATGGAGCTGAGGGGTAGAGGACACGGGGATCATGGCGCTGAGAGGGAGAGGACAGAGGGATCATGGCGCTGAGAGGGAGAGGACACGGGGATCATGGCGCTGAGAGGGAGCGGACACAGGGATCATGGCGCTTGAGAGCAGAGAGACACGGGATCATGGCACTGGAGGGAGAGGACATGGGGATTATGGAATAGAGGGAGAGGACAGGATCATGGTGGTGTTGAGAGGGGAGGACACAGGATCATGGCGCCAGAGAGACACAGGGATCATGGAGCCGAGAGGGAGAGGACACGGGATCATGGAGCTGAGAGGGAGAGGACACGGGATCATGGTGCTGGAGAGAGCAGGACACAGGGATCAAGTGGAGCTAGAGGAGGACACGGGGATCATGGCGCTGAGAGGGAGAGGACACGGGGATCATGGCGCTAAGAGGGAGAGGATATGGGGATCATGTAGCTGAGAGGGAGAGGACACAGGGTTCATGGCGCTGAGAGGGAGAGGACACAGGGATCATGGAGCTGAGAGGGAGAGGACACGGGGATCATGGAGCTGAGAGGGAGAGGACACGGGGATCATGGAGCTGAGAGGGAGAGGACACGGGGATCATGGTGCTGAGAGAGGACACAGGAATCATGGAGCTGAGAGGGAGAGGACACAGGGATCATGGCGCTGAGAGGGAGAGGACACGGGGATCATGGCGCTGAGGGGTAAAGGACACAGCGATCATGGCGCTGAGAGGGAGAGGACATGGGGATCATGACGCTGAGAGGACACAGGATCATAGAGCTGAGAGAGAGGACACAGGGATCATAGAGCTTAGAGGGAGAGGAGATGGGATCATGGCGCTGAGAAGGAGAGGAGATCATGGCATCAGGGATGGAGAAGACAGAGGAATTGCGGTACTGAGAGAGAAGAGGTTGATGGGATTATTGCATAGGGAAAATGGAATGAAGAGGGAGTCAATGCATCAAATGGAATAGGAAGAGGTTTTAATGGCATTGGGGGTAGAGAGAATGAAGGTATTATGGCTTTGGGACAGAAACTGGGGGAATGTTGGCATGCTGGGGGGAGAATAAATAACATTGGAGGGGATGGGATTATGTCACTGGAGATTGGAAAGTGCTGATTACGGAATTTGGAAAGCGAGGGTTTATGGCAGCAAAGGGTTTCTGACCTAATGGTAAACTGGATGGGGCCATTTAGATATTGAACGTGGTAGATATAGAAAACACAAGATTGGGGTGTAGAGACTAGGATATATATGGGAGCACAGTTCCTGAGAATGGGTTTACATAGGTGGATGGAACAGATTTAGGCCTGAGGTAGGAAGGATGGTGAAATGTTAGGATTGGGGAACTAAAGAATGGGGAAATACTAGATTATGGTATCAGGAGTCACGATGGGATCCTAAAAGCAGTAACAGTGTTGCATAGCAGTATCTATAATTTGTACTCAGTACACAGAACATTAAAAGTGTCATAATTAGTCACTTAGAGTCAACAGTTACTTCCTCTCTTCTCCTGGGATGAATCTCACAACACTTCGTGTTCATCCAACTCCTGATTGGCTGCCGAACAGAATCTCAGACTTGCTGATTGGTTCGATTCCTTGATCATGCTGTGAGCATCCTCTCTGTGCATGCTGCGAAATCTTCCTGTACTCCTGACATTGCTTACAGCGTTCGTTGTGCCTTACTGAGTCATAACATCCTCCCACTGACAACCACAAACAAGGTTATCACTGGTCTGTGCGAAACTGCTGCCAAATGCAACTCTCCACAAGTTCTCTGCTTTTACACTCATAGCTGGAGGTGAGGGAGAGGACGGAGGAGGCACCTATACGACATATGTTACAGGCTAAACCAAATACACTTCACACAGATAATGATAAACTTTTCACAATGTTGATCAAACAAAGTACATGTCCTCCGCAGATTCCTAATTCACCCAGTGATCTCGATGAACATCTTTGCCCACTTTGTGTCTCACATATCCCTAAACTTGTGCAGTGCGGAAAAAATTTCATCTAAACCACTTAATCTGAAAACTATTTTTTTTTTCGGGATGACTGATTTTCGCTATTGGCTAATGGAAGTTTTGAGCCCTGTTTTATGTTTTGCAATACACTGATAGGTGCACTTTCCCACCAAGTAAAAACAGGGGGAGTAGTTAAAAAAAAAAGATTTAAATATCCTATTTTGATTAAATATAAAAATATAGGTATATATTGCTCTCTGCACCTAGTATCATCCCACAAAAAAAATGCACATCTACCACCACAGCGATGAAACACCAAAAAAACTATGCAAATCCTGTCGATTGTGTCACTTGCAAATGGGACATACAGTAAAACTTAAAAAGCCCACTGTACCTGTGTTGATTTATAGATGTTCCTGTTAGATTATAAAATCAATCAGAGTTGAACAGAATTTGGGAGAAACTCACCTGTGAGTACAAGTCTGGCATCCCCCTAGAAGCACTATCTAGTTTGTGAACTAAATTTCCTCGGACCCTCAAAGACTTGAAGCCGTTTGGACGTTATGGAGAAATTAATTCACGTGCAACTTCAGTGTAAGGTTAGTTAAAATAGATTTAAAAAAATATAATATATTATACAGACAAGTCATAACAGATTTTGCCATTCAAATTACCATGCTTAATAAAGTAAAGTCATAAAAGCATTAGAGATCAAATTAGTGATCAAATATCAGATTCATATTTTCGACGAAAAGGATAATGATTTAAAGAGTAGCTATGAATCCGATAGCTCTGATAAGGTTGCACCGTATCAGGGATTCAATAAGATTTTGTTTTCGAAGCTTTAAAATAGACAGATTTATTAAAGAGTCATCATACAGGCTCCATTTAGGTAAGACAGAGAGCAGGTGTACACTTCTCTCCACTTACAGCAAGAATAGAACGATGGCCTTAGCCCCCCGGACATGACTTGTAGGCTATCCATATAAAGAGAAGAGAGTTACCAGCCAATAATTCCATGACATTAAGCCAATTAACTTTGCCAGGATGCACGACTGGTCCATCGGCTGAAGGAATCTCACTGGCTGAAGGAGAAGATGAGGAGATATTTGATTGGCTACTTCAGGCTGATCACCCAGAGACTGCATGATAAACTGAGAGTTTTGGCTATTCCTGACCTCCAATCTTGGTCTATTCCTGGGATCTATGGAGGAATGTGCTGTTTGTGCGCTGAGTTCTGAGATATTGCAAAGGTGATAAGCCCCAGATGATATCCATTCTCCGCAAACCATAAAATATATACGTCACACTCAACAAGGTGTTGGCTCACAGCCAGATGTCGTGTTTATGAAGAAAATAAAATCTGGGTGATCTTGAAATTAATAATACAACTATGCCGTTTTTATTACAGAGCAGCAAATTCTAAACATAATGCTGAGTATAAGACTTTGAGAAAGAGTAATGTCCCTACCAGCGCTTAAAGGACGCTCGAAGCACCATTCAACTTCAACGTAATGTAGTGGTTATGGTGCTAAGTCACTGTCCCATTTTTCAGACAATATAGAACATTGCTGTACTTGGGAAATGGTAAAGTTTACTTTTGCCAAATAACAGACTGACAGCCATGAGAAACATCAGATTGGCAAATCAAAAGTGGTTGTTGTTTCCCAAATATGTGCGTGGGAATACGTTTTACTTTTTTTAACTGTTTAGTAGATATACCACCAAAGAAACCATGCATGTATTATTCCTCCATCTTTTATTTAGGGGTATTTGTGCACGGCCCTCTTCCCATTTTGTAATGTCTGTGTATATTGCTTTTTTCCCCCCCATTTGTACAGCTTTGCAGAATTTCTTACCCCTTTAAAAATATGAATTAAAAAAAATGTTTTTTTTTAAAGATTATTATTTGTGTGTTTTGGTCTTTATGGCAGCATCACTACTGGGAAATGTGTGTTCCGGATGTGCCCCCATTTTCCTTTTGTTCTGGTGCTTTATAAATGTAATTAATAATAAAATTAAATACAGTTTGAAAATGCTGCAGATCTGATGTCTGCATCCTTTGCAAATTCTCCCCTCTTTCCCAGGCACTGACATTTAGTTTGTGTTGGGGAATACACTAATCAGAAGTTTGCACAAGTGACCACTGATATCCAATGCAAAGGGCGCCTGTCTCTTACACTAACAGTCACTCAGACAGCCTGTGGAGCTGAGGGACAGAAAAGGAAGGGTTTCTGTCCCCAGTTATTAAAGTGCCAATTTCTATTGAATGCTGACGTACTTTAGGTGTCTGAGTGTTCCTTGAAGTGAGCAGAGCACAACAAGTCATACGGCAGAGTCTAGTGCCCCACCATCTGTATTCTGTCATCTTTACCAGCCCAGCCACCATTAGAATACACTCTCCCTCTGCTGGATTATTTAAGAAATCACTTCTGTTTCTGTTTATGCTCCCTTGACTGTGACTGACACAGCCTGCATAAACAAAATGTTTTCATTTTCAAATAAGATGTTGACTTGCTTTATACGTTTTTATCTCCTGCTCTGTAAATTGAACTTTAATCACACACAGGATACTCCTACAAGCTCTAGCAAGCTATTAACAGTACAGGAGATAAAAAAGATTGTAATTTAAACAGATAGTGCAATGAAGTAAGTGTAAACATTAGATGAGACTTTACAAGAAGTGTTTAGGAAGGCTGTATATGTCACATGCAGGCAGGTGTGGCTACGGCAGCATAAACAAAGTGATTTAACTCCTAAATGGCTGAGAATTAAGAAGTGAGACTGCATGGACATGATCTACACACCACAACTGCTTAATTAAGCTAAAGTTGTTTTGGTGACTATAATATCCCCTTAATTATGTTTTTTTTTTTTTTTTATTATTAAAGAGCAGGGTTGGCTCTTTGGGAGAGCAACACTCTGTCTTTAAAATAATGTATTTATTTGTAAAGATCGTGTTCCTTCAATATCCAAACCTGGTCACCGGTATATCTCATCATTAACCCTTTTAGTGACAGAAGTAGCAGAAATGCAAATGAAAGATTTAAATAATCTTGGAAAATTCCCCAGCGTGTTTTGTCATCACTGTTCATTGTGTCCAGGCGCACTAATGCCAAAATCACACAATAACAAAAGGAAACATTTTAAGTTTCTATTTTCCATAAAAAGACATAGCTCTAACATGGAAACCAAATAATATATTAATCAAACAGAATGACACTGGTATATGTTGCATCCATGGGAAGTTTGGGAATGTTGAGCTCATCCCTAGTGCACAGTTTTATTTTTAGGAGTTATTAGTCTACTGTCACGAGATGCTCTGACTTTGGCCTTAATTTATTATTTTGGGATAAATTTTCAAAACATTTTGTTTTTTTGCAAAACATAAAATATAATATATATATAAAAAAAAGTATATTAACACATAGAAAAATATCACAATTATTGATAATAGTTTTGTTGATTTTTGTTTTTAAAATAATTTCTGCTGGGTTTAAAGGGAAACTATAGTGCCAGGAAAACAAAGTTGTTTTTCTGGCACTATAGCTCTCTATATCATTTACCTGTATCCCTGGTCTTCATCACTTACCTGTATCCCTGGTCTTCATCACTTACCTGTGTCCCTGGTTTTCATCACTTACCTGTGTCCCTGGTCTTCATCACTTACCTGTGTCCCTGGTCTTCATCACTTACCTGTGTCCCTTGTTTTCATCACTTACCTGTGTCCCTGGTTTTCATCACTTACCTGTGTCCTTGGTCTTCATCACTTACCTGTGTCCCTGGTTTTCATCACCTACCTGTATCCCTGGTCTTCATCACTTACCTGTATCCCTGGTCTTCATCACTTACCTGTATCCCTGGTCTTCATCACTTACCTGTGTCCCTGGTCTTCATCACTTACCTGTGTCCCTGGTTTTCATCACCTACCTGTATCCCTGGTCTTCATCACTTACCTGTGTCCCTGGTCTTCATCACTTACCTGTGTCCCTGGTCTTCATCACTTACCTGTGTCCTTGGTCTTCATCACTTACTTACCTGGTCTTCATCCTTACCTGTATCCACGCGGTCAACAGCATCCATACCTGTCATGTTTCCATCACACCTGTGTCCTTGGTCTTCATCACTTACCTGCCTGTATCCCTGGTCTTCATCACTTACCTGTATCCCTGGTCTTCATCACTTACCTGTGTCCCTTGTTTCCATCACTTACCTGTGTCCTTGGTCTTCATCACTTACCTGTGTCCCTGGTTTTCATCACCTACCTGTATCCCTGGTCTTCATCACTTACCTGTGTCCCTGGTCTTCATCACTTACCTGTGTCCCTGGTCTTCATCACTTACCTGTGTCCCTGGTCTTCATCACTTACCTGTATCCCTGGTATCCTTCATCTACATTACCTGTGTCCCTGGTCTTCTCATCACTTACCTGTGTCCTATTCTCATCACTTACCTGTGTCCTGGTTTTCATCACTTACCTGTGTCCCTCCTGGTTTCTCACTACTTTACCTGTGTCCCTGGTTTCATCACTTACCTGTGTCCCTGGTCTTCATCAATACTTACCTGTGTCCCCGTCTTCATCACTTACCTGTGTCCCTGGTCTTCATCACCTACCTGTATCCCTGGTCTTCATCACTTACCTGTGTCCCTGGTCTTCATCACTTACCTGTGTCCCTGGTCTTCATCACCTACCTGTGTCCCTGGTTTTCATCACTTACCTGTATCCCTGGTCTTCATCACTTACCTGTATCCCTGGTCTTCATCACTTACCTGTATCCCTGGTCTTCATCACTTACCTGTGTCCCTAGTTTTCATCACTTACCTGTATCCCTGGTCTTCATCACTTACCTGTGTCCCTAGTTTTCATCACTTACCTGTATCCCTGGTCTTCATCACTTACCTGTATCCCTGGTCTTCTGTCTGTTCCAGGCGGTAACAGGATTTCATATAGACCATTTGATATTGCATTACTTAATCTTGAACTATTTTTTAAATATATACTGTTAGATCAAATATACTGTGCTTAATATGTATCTCGCTGTATTTAATAGAGAATCGACCAGGAAATTGCACATTTTTGTAAAAAAATATCCATCATATCTATGGATCTAGCTATTTTAGAATAACACGTTAAATTCTCAGCACAGCACAGTAAAGTAAAGTGAATAACTCTCAATATGAAATCTTGACAATTTGCGGTTTATTGAATTACCTTGTACCTTGGAGATTGTGGAAAATTGAAGAGGGAAATGCAGAATTTAATCCAAATTAGTCCAGCCAGAGAAATAGATCGATCATTTTACCTGTTTTGGTTAGTTTGGTCTAAAAGTCTGCAAATCTCAGTTTAGTTAATATACCCCCTTTATTTTCTAAGCATGCAGAGATATATCTAAACAAAATCTTCAGTTTTGCATGGTCAGCAATTACCCACATTGGCTTGAAAAAAAATCTAGATTTGGAGATTTACAGGTGAAATTCTTAATAAATAGATCTGTGTACACAGTGTGCCAGCACTAAAATAGTTAATACTACATTTCTCCAATTTATATTGAATCGTACAGAGTTATTTGCCACAGTGAGAATTCAAAGTGTTTCAAAGGGGATTTAAAGTGTAATGCCAAAGTAACCGAACTTGAAGCATAGTTGACTTAGATGGTTTTTCTTGATCGGCTATTTTTTCCTTAAATTAGAAATTCACTTTAAATTCTCACTTTAGTGAATAATGGGCTGATATTATAGACCAGCATCTTGTTATGGACAACATGGCACATTCACAAAGGTTTAGGGTGTATTATGCCTTTAAAACCTGAGGTTGTCATTGAAATACGTCCCAAGGTAAAAAAAATCAGCTAACAATCCAGTACTTTGTGCTTTGCCAGGGGTGAAATCTCAGGTAAACAAGGTGAAGATTGTATGAATGGCCAAACATCACCTTTACCCTACATAGCATGCTAGCAATTAGCGTGGCACGGCTGGGCACCACACATGTGCCCTTCAACACAATGTCTTTGAAATGGGAAAACAAGTTGTTGTTGGAAGTGAGAGCTTGTGAGGGTTTACACGTAGCACATTCCTGAATTACTATGAATAGACCATCAACAACT